CTCCAACTTAGTTCCGCCTTCGTACTGTCACGTTGATCAGCTTTGGGGGGGGGGGGGGGGGTCGCAGCCTCGAGCGAATGAGGGGGGGAGGGGAGGGGGCTATTGAACCCTTCCACAGAAATGTTAAGAAAAAATAAAAATACTGTAAAGCTATCTAGATATGCTTTAAAGTTTAAACACATCGGATCATTAAATGGATTGAGCATGGCGATATTCTATTGGTTTAACCATTTCAATAACTTTTTTAAATTTAAAAAAAAAAAATTATATTATTTTAAAAATGTATTATATATTCTCTTTTATTTTTTGACATATATTGCTTCGGGTGGGAGGGGGGGGATTGAGTCTCTCCAGGGGCAGTGCCCCCCACCCCCGGAGATTTGCCTGAAATAAACACCGTCTATGACGGATGCAGAAAAAAAGGACAGGGTGCCATATAATTATTATTATTATTTTTATTATTATTATTATTATTAAAGTGGTCTTATATAGTCTTATATTGTCTTATATATTCGTATATAGTCTTATCTAGTCTTATATTGTCTTATATAGTCTTATATTGACTTGTATAGTCTTAGATATACCAGAAATCACCCATCACAGTGATGTTATGTCGATTGTTTTTCTGACTGGGTGTGACATTAACAATATATATATATAAATACTTTCAATGTTGTATATTTACTTCGATCTTGTTCGAGCGTTTCTGTGTTTAAGGCAAAATAAAATTAATTTTTGAAGGGGAAAATAAAGTCAATATGGAACGTGCTCTAGCCAATAGTTGACCCATTTATATACATGTAACCGTTTCTTAATAAATCACGTACAATGACATAAATGCAAACAGAAGTGCATATAAAGGATCTATAAAAAAAACTACATATTATTTTTAAAAATTATATTGTTATAAATTGGGGCTTAACCATGTGCGTTTTTTTACACCGGGTCCGGGTATCACATGCGTCCTAGTGTAACAAAAAAGAGTTAACTTCTCATTTTCTATAAACAATAGGCGTACAGTCGGTCCTACACACCATCTGCCGGCCTTTAAACAGTTGGCCTCTAGATCGTCCTACACCCCATCTGCCGGCCTTTAAACAGTAGGCCTACAGATCGTCCTACACACCATCTGCCGGCCTTTAAACAGTGGTCCTACAAGACAGTCCTACACCCTACCTGCCGGCCTTTAAGCAATAATCCTACAGTTAGTCCTACACCATACCAGTGGCTCTTTATTGATTTATACCTATATGGAAAAAAAATCAAACTTTTTACCCGATTTCAACCGTCATGCATGACGCTCGCTGCGTGACATCATCCCCCCACCCCCCAACTCAGTAATATTAATATGAAACATGTCGAGTAAGGGGAGGTACTGTTGTGAAGAGGAAGCAGGACACACCAGAAGAAAAATATATATAAGAGGTTATACGCTTTAAATTAGCTTTTATTTTGCTGTATGCTTGTCTGGGTCAAATCTTGTAACTCAATTTTCAAGCTGTTCCCTTTACCGGATCGACAGGAAATGGTGCATGGCTACTTCATCCCGGTGATAATACAAGCGTACATGATCAGTAGGTCAGCAATTACCTCCAACGACCCTTGGGTGACCTTTGTTGGTCAAATCTTGCATCTCAATTTTGACCCACTTCCTGATCTCCAAATGAGCCAATGAGCTGAAACTTGGTAGACCCCCCCCCCCCCCCCCCGCCCACCCAACCAACCCCTATGACAATGCAACCAGGCAATACGTAATTATATATAAATGATAATAAATACTGAAACGTACAAAATATTTTTTGAGACACATCAGGATTTTCTTACAATTAATCATGTCTACGGAAAAGCTACAAGAAATAACAACTTAAGATACGATACAAGGATAGAATAACAAACGTGGAAGTAAATTCTATTTTGGTATGCTGGCAAAACCGACCGACTGTGTCCTAAAAATGAGGTGTGTCTAAAAAGTAGGTCGCCAGCATGTCTGAAAAGATTAAAAATCACTGCGCCAGATGATTGCACCCACCGGCGCCAGTTTTCATACAATATAGAATAAACAAAAATAGTTTATTTCATCCATTTATTTAGTCGTATGAATGACAGGTAACATTTATTGTTAAATTAACAGAGTGGCCACTTTGCGAGAGTATTTACCGATCTAGGGACCAGATTGCCAGTTTTTCAATTGTCTCATGAACACGAGAGACGACTTATCTGTTTAGCAGACTTCCGCACCGAAAACCCATCACGATTTTGAAATGTATTCTTTTCTCTTTTTTTCCCTTTCAGTGAATGTGTTTGGTGGATTGTTTGTGTGTGATAATCCTTTACGGTCTGGGGGGCAGAGGGCACTCAGACTCAGTCGAGTGGAGTCCCGAGTCAACTCAGAGCCGTCGCGAGGGGCTCGGATATTTAATGTTCCCAAAATTGGAATACGGGGGGGGGGAGGAATAAACTAAACCTTTGAATCCTGGGGTCTAAAAACCGACAAGTGGCAGGCGGCCTTCAAAAGTCGGCTCTGGTGTGGACTGTGGCTCAATGTGGGATAATAATTTCGGATCGTGATTTTGGCTGTTTTGTGTATCGGGAGGCTAAGAAAGAAATTCGCTTGTCTAATTAATTGTTTACTTTTGGAAAGAGCTAGTGTTAAGTATAATTTCAGCACTCCTTCAAGCAGCTCTCAGCTAAGAGAGACCGGCTAGGAGAGACCGGCTAGGAGAGACCCGCTAGGAGAGACCGGCTAGGAGAAACCAGCTGGGAGAAAACGGCTGGGAGAGACCGGCTAGGAGAGACCGGCTAAGAGAGACCGGCTGGGAGAGACCGGCTAAGAGAGATCGGCTGGGAGAGACCGGCTGGGAGAGACCGGCTAAGAGAGTCCGGCTGGGAGAGACCGGCTGGGAGAGACCGGCTAAGAGAGACCGGCTAGGAGAGACCGGCTAAGAGAGACCGGCTGGGAGAAACCGACTAGGAGAGACCGGCTAGGAGAGCCCGGCTAAGAAAGGCCGACCAAAAACTAAGAGAGACCCGCGTGGTTAGAGTTAAACTCATCAATTTTATTGCTTCGGAAAGAAACTCAGAATACCGCACACGTGAAAGGATCATACTATACAAAAAAAATAAAAAGGAGATTTAATCAGTATTGAAACAAGAAACGGTTGACGCTCTCTTACCACGATCTGATATTCCGCAGTGCTACATTAGGACGATATCGTGATGTTGTACTGAAGAGAGACACAACTACCTCTTAAAATTCTTAGCACGTTGTTTGTTTTCCCAAATAAGAGAGTCGCTGTCGTCTTGCATACTCATTTTACACAGATACTCTCGTGTCCGAATAGGAACATGGTAAAGATCGGAATGCGGGAATGTTCTGACCACGCCTATAGCAATATAATATCAGCTGCTTTAGTAGTAACAAGACCCTATCACCAGCCACATCGGTTATGTGTGTGTGTGGGGGGGGGGATGTCTTAAATGGTTGCACCAAGTGGCATAGGAAGGGATTACAGAGAGGGAGATCCGATCCGGGATGACGTCACTTTTTTTATTATATTGAGAAGCGGCATTTTCCTCCAACTGCATTTTTTTCCGCAGATGGGAGGGGGGGGGCGAGGAGGCGAAAATCTTGGCCCACCCCGGTAGCTACTAGCCGTAGTTACGCCACTGATTGCATCCATGCTAGAATATACCCCTGCGACTAGAGTGGTGCTGTGAGAGGGACACAATATAAACATAGTTTCTGTTTGTTTATGGTAAGGTAACCATGGCGATAACAAGCTAGCCATTCTAAACTTTCCAGATTCCCAATAACCTCCTCTGCGGCTTTTCAAAATGGCTCCAAACCCTGCATACTGAAAGGTGTTTTAGTTGTGGACAGATACAAAGTTTTGTGTACCAAATACAACGCATTATTGAATTAAATGGACCTTTAATTTAGATATAAAAATCAAAGTTCATCTTCATGACGCAGCCAGTGTCTCTAACGAAAAAAAAACAACACAACGCCCACAGAATGTGCATAAGACTAAGCTTAAGTATCTCGTAGACCAGGCCTGCACAACATGGGGCCCGCAAAGTAACGAAATATTCTTAATTATTATTATTTTCTTAACACCTTTTCCCCTGTACTATCTTCTTTTGGCCCGCTGTGTTTAATTCCTAGCCGTTATTTCTACCGTCAATGCATTATAACCCTAGACAACTATCAGAAAACTATGTTTTATGATTAACTTAAACATTATAACCCTAGACAACTATCAGAAAACTATGTTTTATGATTAACTTAAACATTATTTTGTTTGAATTTTAGTCTCTTGTGCCGGGGCCATGACAAGCAGACCATGCCCCCCCCCCCCAGGCGTCCTTTCCCCCAATCTTGCATTTAAAGTGACGATTTTGGGGGGCAAGGCCCAGCACTCGAGTCACTTGTGCATCAGGTGATGTCTTATTATAGAACCTGCAGTACGTTTAATTATTGAAACTTTAGTAGTAATTGTCAAGGACAATGTTAAACCCCATTTTACAGAGTTGCGAGGTGAGAAAGTGTATGAATAGGACCACTACATGGGAGTGATAACTAGGATTTATAATTACACGTCACCTCCCCAAAGGAGGGGGGGGGAGGGGGGGGGGTGTGGGGGGGTTTTCCTTATGATCATTTGCAAAAAAAGTGCATTTCTTTTTAATATTCTGCTTTCCCCAAATGAAAATAATTTTGGATACAATATGTCTAGTATACGATGTCATTTGATTTGAGGTNGGGGGGGGGGGGTGATCAGTGGCTAATTTGGTTATCAGTGTATGAACCCTGTACAGGTCAACTCGAACATTTGTATTGTGCCCCAGAACACTTATAAGAGAAGGGTAGACCTGCATCAGTAAGTGAGATCATCTGGTAATGTTATCAGATTATTAAAAATATTCAATTGCAATCTCCTGTTTTCTCCTATATTAAAATTTTGTATCAAAGCAGACAACCCAGAAACAAATAGAGAAGGCATTCATTTACAATTCATAAACAGTCAATTTTTTTTTTATTGTTTAAAAAGCATATAAATTATTTTTTTTAAATTTAACAGTTTAAGAACATTTTTTTTTCAACTCGTCAAGTTTTGAAACAGTTCTGAATTATAAACATAATAGAATATAAAGATTTTTTTTTTTATTCAGAATTTTACGTTGCATGTTATTTTTAGTTTTAAAAAATAAATAAAAACTGACTATGTTTTGGTAGCTTATCATAAATTTATGTTGAAGAATAATGCATTTATATACAGAGATCCTGGACGGAAAAAATATCACAGAAATGTTTTAAAGTTTATGACATAAGTTACTAGTAACAAAATGTACACAGAGACAAGGTTTAGTTTAGACTGATGATGTGCTTGATGTGACAATGATCAACAAGTTGAAATTCTGTTAGAATGCAGAAAGTTATCAAATAGAACTAGCAACTGTTGTTTTTTAAAAAATAAACATCAGAGACTTTCAATTTGATTTTCCTCCATTTGTATCAGTGTTGGGGAGATGGTACTGTTAACTGTAAAAAGGAATTTGTCACAATATTTTTCAGTTTATGATTATCCCCCTTTTTGACATCCTCAAGGCCATTTATCCAGATAATAATTGAATAAAGTTCTTCATTTATTGTAAACTAATTAACATATAATTTGACAACATATCCTTTAAACTGTTTGCAGTATAAATTCCAAGCACTGTAGAGATAGTAGTAACGATGTGGTATTTAAAATTGTTTTTTTTTCAAATGAATAGCATGGATTGCATTTTTTACTGGAATGAAAAGCTTGGGTTGGGTGTTGCACCACACCAGCTGCTAATAAATTTGAGGACATCTTGCAGCTCTGGACTATGTGAGACCTGGAAAAATGAAAAGGTCAAATGATGCAACATAATATTGTACTATCATAACAGCTTCATTTACTCCAGTGAAATGGTTTGTACCAGGAAATAATTTTACCTAATTTTAAAATGAGAAATCTATTAAAAATTTAACTTGCATGTATGTTTTTTGTGTTTTTTGTGTTTTTTTTGTTAACCCAAAATCAAATGACTTCTCCTTAGTGTAAACACTATTTTAGTACTATTAATACCATTAAACAAATTTTTTTTTTTTACCTACCTCAATTTTTATCAAAAATATAAATATTGTATTATGTAAGAATTGTGAATATTCAGATTTAATAGAAAGAAATTGCTTTTCATTCATTCTTCTGCCTTCCTTGGAAATATATAAAATACACACCTTTGTAGCCATGAGTAATTTATTCCAATCCTCTTTGTTGGCAACTTTGTTGGGATTCTTAAACTCAACTTTATTTTTTAGTACAGGATAACCTACAAAAAAATAGATTTTTTATAGAAGATGCATAATAGCCTTAAATCATTTAAACAAAATCACTGGGGAAAATACAACAAACGAAACATTTATGAAAGAAATATTTAAGCTATTTATATTAGTAAATGATGATTATTAAAATTAATTTTGAAATTATTCATATTTAAAATGTAAAAAGAAAAAAATTCTTCAATTGTGATTTAAATAATTAAGTTTAAGTGGACTCAGTTAACTTGACTGATTTATCTAACATGTGTTAGTTTGTTCAATCTCTAAAGGGATCCAGACATACCTGTTACCACGCAAGGCAAGGCTCTGATCCCTGTATCCATAGCAACAAGTGAAGCCTCATAGGTGCCTCTCTCATCTTTTGGCAGAATTTGCTCCACTTTTCTATCCATCGACACTGCAAGTACCCACTCCTTGACCTCTTCGTGCTGCTGGGCCTGCCCAAAATATTATAAAAGCAAATAGATGTGAGTGAAAAACTTCAGCTTTGGGTATGCATTATTTTGTTATAAGACAATACGGATGTAAATCATGCTGATTCCCTGAACCAAATTTCTTACATTAGCTGATATATAGATATTTATATATTTTTTTTTTTTTTGTGCATTTGTGGAACTTGTGAGTAACTAGGCTTTGTAAATCCATTAAAAAAAGTGTTAGTAAAGCAGTTATTATTATTATTACACGTTCAGAGAGAAAATGGGAGAGTTAGAGAGAGAGAGTGTGTGATGGAGAGGAATGAGTTCATTAAATTATTTGGGGAAGAGATTGAGCAGAGAGCTTATCATCAAAAAATTATTAAAATGAGTATTTAAATTAAAGAGAGATTGGAATACAAAGACTGACCAGTTATTAAGTTACTCTTTCTCTAAATGGAATATATAGCTTGTCAAGAACCAGGTGTTGAAAAAGGTTTCATCACTATTAATTTCCAGTGCTTACAGTTTATTTAAATACACAATAAAAAGACTGCATACATTTTGCCTATCAGTTTCTTATTATTGACCACCCGGCTCCCCACTAAATTAAAAGAACAAATACACCACTAATAACCCATTATTTTGTTTTAAAATTTAAATTTTGGCCTCATTATAAGATATTAAAACAATAGAGAGAACTGTTGTTTTGTCAATCTAATGAGTAAAAATAGATGAATTATAGAAGTCAATTGATGCTTTTTAGTATGAAAAAAAAAATGATTTATTGAAATCAAAATGTATGAGCAAATAAATGACATAAGTTTAAATTGTCCTGAAAACTACTCACAGTGAGGAAAGCTTTCTCTGGTATTGGGATCTCAAAAGGAATGTCTGTTTCTTGGAAGTCGCTGTGGTCCAGCATGTCCAAAGTGCCTTCTTCCATGGCCTGAAATTGTTGAAGTTAAAAATATATCGTGTTTAACCAACAAGTAATCTAGTTAGCATTTAAAGTGATCTTATGATAACACTCATACCCCTGAAATCTCTGAATCTAATACACACATAGTTGGATGTCTTTCAATGGTATTAAAACTGAGACACACGTCCCCTCCAATAACCTGATATGAAACAAGTTCATCAGATTTCCATCTATCTTCTATCATTGATATCAAATTTTATTACAGACAACAAGGCTTACCTCACTTATATCCAGGTATCTATTGAGGAACACGAAGGCCATGTTCTCCCAGCCAAGACCCTGACGATTTGAAATTAAATTGAAAGGCCTATGGTGTAATTTATAGCCAATTTTCTATATTCATTTTATATATTTTCATAAATTTGACAAATTATTTTTAAATTAGTTAATTATCATTTTTAAAAAACTTCCGTCTCACCTTGCATATCATGCCCGCCTCATAAAAAGCTTTGTCTGCTGGAACCATGTCTGTGTGACGCAACAAGGACACAGACAGCTTGCCCGCAATGCTCTCAAGGGATGGCTGGGCCTGTGCTGCACACCGTGTGGCATAGTAGTGGGCTATGAGCAGCATCTTTTCAAACTCTTCATGGTTTGCACTGTTGGCATCAGAGGCCTTGCTCATGTTTTCACACTGGGGGACAAAAAATTATCAGGTTTATCCATTAAAACCAATAAGAAAATAATCTCATTTTTTTGTTTGTTATATGCACTTAGAGGCCTCTAGTTGAAGGACATATTTTGACTCAAACTTAACTGAAGGAAAGAGCCCGCACACTTTTTTTGTTTTAAAATTTAAATTGACTAAAATCATTTCATGTTTCTATTTCATAGATGTTAGTTTAACTTAAAACTTTAAATTAAATCTGATTTGAGATTAAAAAAAAAACAACGACAAAAAAACCAAAAAGAATACATTTGTTTACGCAAAGTTTGCAATACATTTACACTCACACTTTTAACAATTCTAAAGATATATTTTTTAAATTAAGAGCCAGAATGATCAATTCATTTATCGTGGGCCCTCAAAATATAGAAGAAGAACAAATTAAGATTAATTATAATTTGGGCACAATGCATTAAAAAAATGGAGAAAAATTTCACTCACAAGATCATGCAAGATATCTCGTAATTCTGCCCATGATCTATACGCCTCTGGTTTACTCATCTCTCTCTTTACCAGAATATCCGAGAAAATTCTCTTGTAGATGTTGTAATTCTGTAAAAACAAAATCATATTATTTTCTAATTAATGTAGTTTATTTATGCAAACCAGTTGCGTTGGTTCCACTGGCAAGCAAAATAGGCAGAGTTATCAATTTTTTTTGCTCATGTAATTTAAAGAAAGACTTCTATAAAAGCAGACAGATGAAAAGTCCATAACTACTTATACAGTTAACTTAAACCTTATATAAAAGCTATACATCTAAATCATTTAAAATTTTAAATTTAAAAAAATATTTTTTTTTTGAAAGAAAGAAAAAAAGAACCCCACTGCAAAGCTCAAATAATTTTGCCTTTTATATTTTAGAGCAAATAAAACTTTTAAATCAAACCTCCCCCACCTCCTTAATTATTCAATCTCATTGTATCTTTGTACCCTAGAGCCCACAACCCATCTAAAGTGAAGGAACAAAACAGATCAATCTAACAACACTGAGACTGAACATACTTGTGAGTTTGCTGGCGTCCCATGTTTAGCATAAAGATCCAGCGCAGCCAGTGAGTTATTGTTCTTTATAAGGTGGGTAGCATACAGTGCAACATACTTGTGCTGAACTTTAGGATTCTGCAAAAATGGGGGATTCATTTTATTTGGTTAGACAAATATTTACAATTGTAGGTCAGGTGTCATCAAAATTTAAACACAATTTTTGTAAAGGAGAAAAAAAGAAATTCAATTTTTCTGATTAGACTATAAGAGAAGTAAATAAAAAAAAGGATTAAAAAATTAAAACGTCGGAAAACAAACAAATTTAAATGAAGATTTGCCATACCTGTTCAGCAGCTAGCTGCATACATTTATTCCATTCACCCTTCTCAGCAAACATGTCTAGAGCGCCAATGACATCAACAGTGGCCAGCTAAAATTAAGCAGTAATCATTTATATTCAAATGTGTATTGTAAGTCCTAAAAACAAAAATTGTCCAGGTTCCTGATTTAATGGTTTAAACAAATACGACACAAGAGAGCAATGAATGCTAAATGTACTGGAGTGTATAAGGCGGTATACATTTTATAATTAAAATGGAGATGGATAGTTATCTTCAAGTATAAACCAGATTTAGGTGGTGCCATAATTGTTGGTCAAAAAATTAGGATTCCAGTATTTGAAACTTACATCTTCTGCCTTGCCCTGGTTGCGGCAAAATTCTTTATACTTTTCATCGACATAACTTTCAAATCTTGTGGAGAGAGTGACAAATTATTTTATTTATTAATATGAAAACTCTTACACATGAACAATTAAGTGTTTCTAATATTTTTCATGAATTTATTTTACAATGAAACAAACTTTGCAAAATTAATCTATAAAAAGACAAATTAATGGTTTAATATGACTCCTTTTAGTTAAAACAGTGTTCAGTTAACAACCCTATTTATAGCGTAGGTAAGATGCTTCAGGCAGTGACTTGGTATACATTAGGAAAACTTTTATATTAAACAATCAAACATGTCTTTATTTTAGCAGAGAGACATTCTAATAAAAACACATTAACATCATATTACCTTGGATCCATCTCCTTTGCAACTTTTTTGGCTTTGTTCCAATCCCCAGCACTAATCAACATGTCAATGCCCTCTTTCACCATGTCCATGCTCAGATACAGCTCAGCAGCCTGTACAAATATACAAATGAAATGTTTAAAAACTATCTATAGCTGTTTATGATTATTTTCCCATTCAAGACAATGGTAATTAATTTTTTTTACATTTTTCGCCCCCCAAATATTTGATAAGTATCTAGAAGAAATAGCCAATAAATCTTTTCCAACTTTATCATAACTTTGTTCAGAAGGTAAAGTTCAGGATATGATGGCATAACAAACATGAGTGTCATGAGTTTATAAGTCATTTTCATAGTATTAGTATTGCTTGGAAAAATATTTATATTTTGTTTGGGTTTAAAAACTTATCATGAATGTGGGATGCTATGATTATCAAATAGTTTAAAACTTACAGTAGAGTGACATTTGATTCCAGCCAGTCTGGGTCCAACAACTTCCACAATCATTTGAGCTTTGTGATTGTCTAGGAACTTTATTGCTATGTCACCAGCCTAAAACAGATAAAATCAAACAATGGGCATAAAATAAAACAAATAGTTAAATAAAATTTAAAAAAAAACAGCTTGGCTATAGGCAGACTGAGAATATGTGCCATGTTAAAAAAAAACGTTTAAAGAGAAAATTTTGAGTAAATAATATTTTATTTGACCTCTGTGTCAGGCAAAGAGGTCAAGGGTTCATTGAAAAATAATTCTGAAAAAGAATAGGGCTTGTCATTTAATGGTGGAAATCTATTAATAGAACTGCTGTATTCATCCGGGTACTCGGATCTGACAAAATTTCAACAATGTTCAGTACTATTATTTTAGTGAAAAGGCCCTTAACCTAAATCAAAACTTGTTTACAGCTATATGTTATGAAATATTTTACACAATATTATTTTTACTGCTATTGCTATATTCAAGGATATACATTTTGTGAAATGGGACTTAATTGCGCATTTGGCACATGTAACAGTGACTCTAGATACAAGTATCATCCAAACGATATGCTGAAACACACTCTTACTATTTGCTGCCATGTTTTAAGAAATATTTGTCCGACGTTCTAAAAATATTAACGCTATGACGATTTCCGGTCTGAGAAATGACAACCCCTATTTGATTCCATTCAAAATGGTTATCAGACTACAAACACAATGAAATTATAAAATAAACATACAATAAACAGGGTTCACTATCAAGTTTATTACTAATTAGAAAGCTGAATTTTCAACTTTACAAGAGATATGTAATGAATCATGTCTTGATCAAAGAGAAGACATGTTCAGAGTAATTTGCTAACCCCATTTCGGTACCTTCATTAGACACTTTTCTACAATCTTAACATCTGGCACCATGTCAGGTGTGACTTTCAGGTAACATTCAACAGCCCTCTGGTGTTCTCCTGAAGCTTCCCATTCCCTGGCTTGTCTGACTATGGCCTCAGCTCCTCTAATGGTTAAAAAAAATAATAATCATAATTAACAGAAATTTTATTTCTTTATATTCATCCTATTTTTAATGTCATAAAGAAAATACCTATTTTAATTAGCCTGGGTCCACCAAACCTGCAAACATAATTCATTAAATGAGAATCAAATAATTCTCAAAACGTTGAATGGAAAAGTAAAACATGGTTAGAATGGTAATATTTCTCTTTTCACCAAAATATAATTACACATGCTTAAATAATACAGCACATTTATATTATTATTATTATTTATATTATATTATTTACTTAAGCAAAGTAGAATTTATTATCTCAAAAGAAAATCACATTAAGTAGTTAAGTACAGTAATACTTTAAGTCATCACTACTTTGTGGGTTTTCTCCAAGGATACATTTTTGTGGTATACAGTAAAAATATCTTTATATATTTATTTATTTTTTTTGTGTGGTAAAATAAGCATTTCTAGACTAAAAAATGAAAATAATATAAAAATAACTTGATTAACTTTTAATAAGAGTGTGTGAAGGGTTAATTAAGCTTTCAAATATATATAAATCCTACTTCAGGGTTTTTCACATTTTGCGTGGGGGTGGGAGGGATGGTGTCCTTGGAACATAACCCCCATGATATTCGAGGTATTACTGTTTCACCTCATGCGGTTAATACAAATTAAAAGCTAGACTACAGCGTATTTAATTAAAACTTATAATAAGAGATCACACATAAGCCATCAAAAAAGGAAATGTATACAAAGGAAATAAGTGTATAACATTAAATTATATTTTCTATTCTTACATTTTTACACAATTGTGAAAATAAAAAAATGAAATTTCATGTATGTACAAGTCCAAATCTACTGATTAAGGTCATATATAGAAAATATTTAACTTAATTGATATTACTTTTCTAGTGGTAAAAATAAGATTTTGTACACATTAAAAAGTGAAGGACATCATAGCGGTATAGGCTAATTCGCTTGATAAATTATCTAGCAATGGACACATAAAGCAAACGATTAATAAAAAGTTACAAATTTTGAAAAATGATTGCGCAGTCTTTTGTTAAAATAATTCTGGTTGCACCATTTTCTTTAGGATTCAACTTCTCAAAATACATTTTATGACTTTGATTAATAATTTAACTACAAAAGAAAATTGTCTGAACTTTCCTGGTTTTAATATTTTTCATTAACATCTAGAAACTATTTATCTCTGAGTAAATCAAAACCATATTTTGAAAAACTGATGTTTTTGTTCACAGCTCTTCTTTGACACTGGGTCTTTAAGTTAATAAATGTAACACAAAAATATGGTGTTCAAAATTATTTATTTAAATACAAGTGTTAAAGACTATCCTTAATTTTGTATTTGATTTCTATTAAATAAAGACAAAGCATGTTTGATGAGTTGTAAAAATACAGAAAAGGTTAGATTTTTAGATATTTATTGTTTTCATTCTGATGAGGTTTGTATATATTTATATTTAACTTATAGTAAGAAAGCCCATTTTTAATTATTAGTCCCCTATTTTGTTGAATTGATGATATAAAGACTGACAAAGATATTAAGAAACATACATTTTAGGAGCAAAAATAAAAGGAAAAGAGCCTAAGATATTTTAAGGTTCTCACATCTATAGGCCTAAATATTCATAATTTTTAAATAATTTTCAGTGACTAAAATTTGATGAAAGAAGCCAAATTAAATTGAAGAGTGTAAAGTGGAGCACATGGAATCAGCAAGTTGGGGTAATTAGTAAAATTCTTTTATGAGAAAAATACTCACCCTCCACCACCACTATGAGATTTAGTGCTGAAAATGTCAAATATGCATTTCAAAACTGACCAAAGTACAGGTTCTGGATAAAAACAAATTGTGGCCAATCCATGACATTAAATACCCCCAAAACTCTATTTTCTCATGATCACTCAGATATTTTCCACCTGGCTTTGATAAGTATGTCAAGCAACCCAAGTAAATCCCAGGAACTGGGATCCCCAAAAATGAACTCTCACATCCTGGAGACTTACTTGCCAGAGCTGTTGACCGCTTCTCTGTCATACTCATCTTGTAGCTGCTGTAGTTTGTGAGGGAGATATTCTTTACATACACGCAGAGCATCAGGCCACATCCCAGAGTCCTAAACATGACATTTTGTCAACTATTTCCAATTTTCTACATTTTTACATCAATGCAAATTTCTAATCACAACTGAAACAAATTGTATTATTATTTCTAATCATCATGAAAACATTGAGTGACAAGCTTAGTAAACTTTTTTCCACATGACAAATTTTAAATCATAAAACTAGAATGAACTTAGAACTAGAATGAAACCGTTGAAACTATGTGCACACCTTGTAAAACTTGATGGCCAGTTCTGGTCTCTGAGCCCTGAGCAGGTAGGACTCAGCTTTGGCAAAATCTTTCTCTTCAAATGCAAACCTTGCTTGTCCCACCAACACATCTGCTACAGAGTCTGGATCATGTGCCTCAGCAACACGCTGTGCTGAATCCCAGTCTTGATTGTGAACATACCTAATCAAGCATTGTTCAAAGTTTTCATGTTGAGAATAAAAAGCACTAAATTTTCTTACAGTCATAGGCAATCTAACAGTATATTAAATTTAATAAGTCTTTTTGTGTTAAAGTTTATGAGTGATATCATTTATAGCTTCCTGTTAATACCAATTTTGCTACATTGTTAAACCTTATAAGATTGTCAACTCCAGTTTTATTATTAATTTTATATCTTTTTTATTTTCATCAAACTTAATATTTTACATGATAGAACAAACTCCAGAGGACCTGATTTTTTATTCCCCTAAATTAGTTTCATGTTATTTTCAATTGCAATCAAAGTTGGATGAAACTTACAAGGCAAAAATAGGCAAAGCTTAGATACATACATAAGAACAGCTTCTTTAGGTCTCTGGGCCTTGACAAACTCTTGTTCTGCCTCATGAAATTTGCCCTCATCTTCCAGGAACATAGCATGTTTAAGATGTATGTCTGGCAGCTTTTCTTTCATTGCAATGGTGCAAAGCTCAAAGGCAAAGTCGAAAGCACTGAAAAATAATTCAGTTATTTATTCAAAACTACCACAGTTATTTGAATTTGTCTTCTTCACTGCTGCTAACTTGAGCTGGTCTGATAATTATTATAACCTTTTCGCTATCGATGATGTCTATGCGACGTCACGATCACCCACTTTCAATTACTAAGGACGTCACAATGTCGTCATAACAAAGAGGCAAAGAACTTTTCTGAAATACCAAGGACGTCACATCGACATCATATTTGAATGCTATATATTTCTTTATTCCTTAATCTATAGAGAAGTTAAAAAGCGAATCGGATAGAGAATGAAAATACCGAAAATAGCCTTTTTTTAAATTAATTTTTTTAAATTATTATTATTATTACCGGTATTATTATTATTATAATTTTTTTTAAATATTGCTGAGTCTGCAAAAATCGACGCCCAAAACCAGCGGTAATGAAAGGGTTAAAATATATTTTGTAAAAAATTTGCTACTGTATTATCTTTCTTTAAAATGTATATATATATTTTAATGGAAACCAATCCACACTCTGTCTCAACATTTACATCCTCACCAGTTCTCTGCAGCATAATCAATGGCAGCCTCTAGAAGACCAAACTTGTTAAGCAACTTTACAGCTGAATCACCACCCAAGCTTTTAGCCCAGAGGTAGGCCACCTGTTTGGCTGCTGGCTGGCCACCCTGAGCCTTGGCCACCTGCCAACAGACAGAATCATTTCATTTGAATCACTTGACATACATCATAGAATTTCCAGGCCCAGCTCCAATGTAAAACTTAGAGATGTGTCATTTCAAATTATTTTTATTTCTCTTTATAATATGGTTGACTTCGAACCACGCTTCGAGCTTTTGGGGATGAAGAGTGTATTTCAAATAAACTTTATTATTATTATTTATGTGAGTTAAGTTTATGTGTTAGATGGGTTTTGTGCATATGATGCATGTGTGATATTGTTGAATCCAACAACATCATCAAAGGCTTTTATTTCTCAGTACCCTGACTAAATGTGAAACATATTTTTTTTAAAGTTTTAAAATCCTAAAAATGAAAATCAACCTCTACAGGTCTGATGAATTACATGTCCGAAAGGCAAAGGCCACTCTTATATACCATGAAACAATCTTAAAATGCTCAGCTGATTTCTCTATGATATTTTTGTTGTGAGCCCCAGTCAAACTCAATGGGAGAATCCCTCTAAGGGAAATACCATAAAGTTTTGTTTTTTTCATTACTTGATTACCTTGATTCATATAACCCTATTTAGAAGACCAACAATAAAACCCCCGACTAAATTTCAATTCATCAGCCATTTATAGTTTCCTGTTACAAACTTTTCATACATTATGTTATTCATAAATTAACTATAATCTAGGCATTTCATCTCCAATTCAACAGAGACAAATGAAAAAGTAAGACTGACTCTGTAGGCCTCATCCCACATATCCTGTGCCCTGTACATGTTGACTGCTGCCTTCCAATCTCCTCCTTCTTGGTAATGTTGCTCAGCTTGTCTAAAGTTGCCTTCACTTTCCAATTCCTGAAATTATTAAGAAAACATCACAATTATTTTAAAAACCTTGCTCAGGGGTGGACAACCTTATTTTATATCAGATCAATCAGAAATAAATTGTTTTCTTAACACCTCCCAAACCTTTTAAAGATTGCAATGCCCAAACTCGTAATTGTCTTACGTTGGTAAAGTACAAGTAAATAATAAAAAAATTAAAGCTATTCTTTTAATAATAATTAAATACAAAACTCAGAGAAGATCTTAGATATTTAATAATATTTAAAAAAAATAAGCATAGGCTGCTTGGCTGCTCACCTGATTCATCATTCAATTCATCTGCTTATAATGAAGAAGTGAATAAAGCAAAGAATATAAAAGATAAACCTGAACATGTTTTTTTTATAACATTGAACTCTGTATAAACCTTACCTTAGCCAGGTGCAGGTGCGTGTCTGTGACCAGATTTTCATGATGGACTTTCACTAGTCTGATCATATCGCCATACATTCTTTGTTTCTTGTACATTGTGATGGCAAGGTCAGGCTCTTCTACAGCAACATACAGTCTGTTCAAAGGCAGGAATTAACGAAACACATTTATAATAAAAAAAATTACTGACTGATTAAACTTATTCTCAAATAAAATTAGACTCAGGTGATTGGTGCATATTACATCAGCCTGAACAATTTTCATTTTGTAAGTGTTTTATATATAAAAAATATCAGTTGACATTAACTTTCATGTTTGTGTGTAAAAAAATATTATTTTCCAGGGATTTTTTCAAGGAAAACACTTAAATATCTAGAGATTGGAATTATGCGATTTGTGTGCATTTGTCCGTCAATTAGTAGAATGACAAAAGTGATGAGTAGAATAACAAAAGTGAAAATTGTAGTAATATAAGATCTTAAACTGACCTTTCGGCTTCTCTGAACTTTCCTTCATCTTCCAGCTGCTTTGCTTGGGCAATGTACAGGTTGGATACATCCTCTCCTTTCATGTATGTAGCAGCAAGCTGGGAGGTAATTAAGCGGTGTTTAAAAAAACTCCTTTTCATCACAGGTTATATCAAACAATTGTTCAACAATAGCACATAAAAATAATTTGGTTTCATTTAGTCTGAACTACAGGGGTTTATTTTTTTAATAGCTCCCTTTTTTTCTTGCTTTTCTGTGTGAATTCCTCACAAAACTGTTTTCTTTTAAAGTTCAACTTTGCCCTTTACCTTGTGTGCTAGCTCCCACTTTCCTGCCTTGTTATACATATCTACTGCTTCTCTTGTGCAGCCTGCTTCCACATAAAACTTTTCAGCTGTCTGAAAATGAACACATACAAAAAATACTTTTAGAAATTCAAAACAGACATTTTTACTTACGTATTCTAACTAGGTACACGGGCTTGGGAACCTTAAGCAATAATTTTGAGTTTACAAAATTATTAAAATGTTACTTGATTATTATTTTTTTACTTATGTCTTTAAAATGCGTAAAAATGTACAATTTCAAGTAGTTTCTATAAGGAAATGGCATTTTAAAAGTATGAAATTAATCTAAATTACACTGTTTCATTATGTGTAACTAGATTTATAATGACTGACTAATGAGATTCTAGTTAGAATTGTAAAGACCAGAAATGAAACTATAATGTTAACAATCTTAAACGATTTATTGAAATTGATCATAACAAAGAAGAAAACCATCTTTAATTGCAAATTGAAAGACAACTGATTTATGTATTTTAAACACTTAGCTTACCTCATATTCCCCAATAGAAGCGTAATGTTCACCAATCTTCTTGTAATATCTAGCAGCCATGGCAGAGTCCTGTATCTCCAATATCTGTACAGCCTTGGCCCACTGCCTGGAGTTAATGGCTGCCTCCACTGCCTTAATGGTAGCCCTGCAAAATGAAATATATGTTTATTTTTTTACATGACCTTTATTCCCGATGCATCAGAAATGTAACAAAAAATCCCAAATTTGCTAAAAAATATTTATGAAAAAAAAAAATAACACAAAATTACTGGAAGTCAATTTCTTTTTCTTTGTATGATATGTGAAAACTTTGAGAGTTGTTTCATATGTGTGTAGAAATATTTGAAATTTAATAGATATCCGCCAAAAACAATGCTTTAAATTTCCATACCCTGCCTCTATAAAATGATTGATGGCTGCATCCAGCTGTTTCTGAGTAACGAGATAATCACCAAACTCCTCCTCTAGTTTGACCACCTCACTGGGGAATGCATGCCGAGCCAAGTCAATGGCTGAAATAAAATTATATATTAAGATGCAAGAATTTAGTGTCAAAAACATTAAAAAATGAAAAATCTTTTTGCCCAGAAATGGACATCTGGGGTTATACACACCAGAATTCTCAAGTCTCTCAAATCAAATCGCAAACAAGGAACAATTGCCTTCAACAGTATGTATTAATACCAAAATTTATAAGTGCATACTAATATGAACTTCTCTCCATATATTATATTGGATTGCCCTCTGGTGCAATGATAACCTATCTGCCTCAAAACCAGAAGAGAGTAACTAGGATCACTCTTATGTACAAAGAGCAAAGTGGAACTGACTCATGGAACTGACTCAACACCCCAACAAGTTATGGAAAATTAAAATGGTAAAAAATTGATATCCAGAGCCATCTTGGTTTTAGGTATGGTAGTATGCGAAATGATGTTACATTTCAGAGAAAGAATGGTGGGGAGGCCAGGAATTGGGGGGGGAAATAAATCTTTAACTCTCTGAATTTAACTCATCTTAAAAATGTCAAAGCAAAATAAATATTGCTATGACATACTAGATTTAATGCCCTACCTCTTCTGAATTCTTTGCCTTTCTTGAAACAGTCCATGGCTCTTTGAAAGTCTCTTATCTTCTCATAGAGGTCTCCAGCCTGCCCAAAAAAAATTTTTAAAATATAATTTATAATTGAACTAATAAAATAATGATCTGATAATGTTTTAACAAATTATAAAAAATATTTAAAAAAAAACAAAAAAAAACCAACTTATTATAACCTACCCTGTCATAAAGCTCTGCTTTAATGAGAGCACCTGCAATTCTTGCAATGAGATCTGAATTCGTCATAAGTTCCTGGAAGTAAAGATTAATTGTATAATTAAAATAATATGTGATTGATAGTTTACCAATGACATTTACTTCTTAAAGAGGATATATTATTTTTAAAAATCAATGAATGTTTTGAAAGTCAAAGCTTCTCCAATATAGTTATTTTTACAGTAAACAAAATGTAGAAATTATTAATTTTTACAGCCAATTTTCAATTCATTTAGGCAATTGTTCTCGTCTAAATGGTTTCTAGCAAATATGCTAAGATGTGAAGAGAAGTTTCTATGTGAATCAAACTTACCTCTCGACTTGCTGCTAGTCTAGCAGCTTTGGCTGGTAGACCTGATTTCATGTAAAGGTTTATGGCTGCCATGTAATCACCTTCTCGTTCTTTCAACTGTTTAAAAGGTGTTTTTTTATAATTAAACACATAAGTTTAGTTGCAGGTTCATAATTAATGTTATTCAAAAAACCATTTCGACCACAGAGAATATAAATATTCATAATAAATATAAAGGAAAAAAAATTATTTAGTTGTTATCACATTACATTACATCACAAATAATAATTCTCTCAGTATATACATATAGCTGTAACGCTGTGTTGGAAATAACATACCCAGAATTCAGTACTAATTGGCATTTTCATAAAGTGCATTTCTTAAATGCACGTCTTGTTATGTAACTTTATTCGATGGGAAGTTGGCGGATTATTTCTTGCTATGTTACATTATACTTATAAAATATTTAATACTGACAGAATCGTATTAAAGTACAAACCTCCCCAGCCCGCTCTTCCTGACCTGTCTCCATCAACCATTGGTTGTAATTTTTCTTCAGTGTCTCCAACTCTGGGTGACTCTTTAATAGAAAAATAGTAATGAAAAATGAAGTGTGGATTCATGTTCTTTTTTATTAACAACAAAATGTCTTCAAGTGGGGAGCATTACAATAAATTATTGCAACAAAAAAAAAAGCACTGTTTAAAAATAAGGTTAAGCAGCCGTAACTTCATCATTACCTTGGCATCAGCTACTTCTATTGCTTCATCCCACATGTGCATTTCTTGGTACATTTCAATAGCTTCATTTACATGATTCTAAAAGATAATAGATTTATCAATTTGGGTTATAAATAAACAGTAACAAAATTATGATTTAAAAATGTGTACTTTTAATGATTTTTAAAACAGGTTTTTATAAAAGGACAGTAATGTGTCACAGAAAGCTTTTAATAAATAGTTTCATTAAATTCAAAACCACACATTTACGAAGTGTATCAAAATATGTGATTCAAATCTCATTGACTTACCCCTTCCAAGTAAATGTATTCTGCTTCTTTGAATTTCTTCTCTGATATAGCAAGCCTTGCTCTGACTTTATAATGCTGGGTGCCATCACCTCCCTGCCAAGTAGCGACAGACAAAGTTTTAAAATGTTAATTTTAAAGCACAATTGAAAATCTTATAATACTTTTAGAATGAAGATTTTTTTTAAAGAGATTATTTTTTTAAATGGCATTTAAAAAGCAAAACAAAGTAAAGAAAATTATATTAAAATTAAGATTTAAGGACATTTGCAAAAGGAACATGAGGGAAGCAAACATAGAAATCAACAAACTGGAGTTTATCACTGAGCACAGTCCAGCTGGCAAACAGCTGTGTATGAAGGAATCAAACAGGCATAAGTTGCAAGAACAAAGTCCTTGCAACAAAAAGAGCATTAGGGAAGGCCTAATTTAACCAAGAGTCAAGGTTCTCTTGCGAGAAGTGCAGCCCTCATAAGCCATTTGATGAAGTGTCAATAGCTACTCCATTGTCTGGCCAAGATGGAAGGATGCCATATATATCACTCATGACAACACATGTACTGATATTGTTAAAAAAGCCCTATCAAGAGGAGTTAAGGAAAATTAGCACTAACTGTTTGTCTGGAAACTTCCTCTGCTATCCTCAATGTCTCTTTCAGATACCTGGCCTTTGCAATATTACCCAAGGCAGAGTAGCACCTGGAAAATAGAAGCCAAATAATTTAAGCTGCAAAATTTTACAATGAAAAATAATGTTTTAAATTTCATTTGAAGAAATAAACAAATATTTAGTTCCTCCTAAAGGGTGTACCTTTTCAGGCAACAATACTTCAGCATATCAGGAGATATACTCCAGCTTTAAACAATCTTGACCAGAGTAATCTTTATTTTAAATAAATATAATGTTCAACATCACAAGGGATTGAGGTCATTTTGACTTCTAACTAACTTGGCCTAACATACCGCTCAGCAATGTGTAGCTGCTTCTCCTCAAGTGCCATCTTGCTCAAGGTCTTCCACATAGCCTCAGTTTCTGCAGACATCTCCAGGGTTTCCAGGAAGGCCACAGCTCTGAGAGTAATAGTAGATACCAACAAACATTTAAAAAGAGCTCCATGAAAAGAAACTTTGGTGTGTTAATTCAATTAGCGTTCCTAATATCAGAGAAGCTAGAATGGTAGGCATTTAATTAGACGATAAAAGCATACATTACAACATAACCTAGAAAACTTTTGATATTGATAAATTTCCTTATTCCATGAAGTTTGTTTATTAGCACAATATGACTGACATAATGCTTTTCTTTACTATCATACATGAAATGTATTAATATTTCTACAGTGACACGAAGAAGTAGTCTTTCATTTTTGAGCCTACTTATCAGTTTTAATTATAATAAAATACTTTATTTCTCACCTAGCATAATCTCCATCTTCTATAGCTGTGCCAAATTCAATCAGTCCTTCATCAAGTGTGTATGCAACTGTGTTAACTCCTTCACTTACAAGGACATCTGTTCTTCCATCTTTTCTCTCAAGATCAATTATATCTCCCTAAATTTCAAATGATCAATGTTATAAGAAGAGTTATATGAAATATAAAGTTGGAGAAGGATTTTATGAAGCCGGGGACATTTTGTCTAAGTTGTAACAATTTTTATGACAATTGATTTGGTCCAATTCTCATCAATTAATTTTTTAAAATTTTTGAGGTAAATATGTTTAAAAAATATTTGAAATATTTATAAAATTGAATTTAAAACATTTCCTATGTAGTTGTTGAATAATTTCTATTATAAAGTAATTGTTAATTACTATTAATCACTGATTAAAATTAACAAATAAATTAAAATTGTGTTCTCAGCTTTTCACTAGCTTACCTTAATGGGCACCATTGTAACCCTTTCAGGAGACTCAATGTTGTACCAGACACATAGATTGCCCCTGTTCTGTGCCACTACAACATCACTGCCAGGGACCCACTAGAAAACATGATATCTTTTATATCAAGAATGGAACCATATGTTGCACTTTATTTTAAAAAGCATTCACAAATATTGACCCAATTTAAAGATAATTATATTGTTTTGTTTCTCTCTTGGGGAACAAGGACACATTTTTTAAAAATATGTGCTACAAACAAGACAAAACCAAAAGGCATATTTCCTTATGCAGCTTTATATCTTCAACACAAGAAGAAAAATGAATAATTTAGTGTTCATACCTGTACATAGGAGCAGTAGTTCAGTATACTTGTTTTTTGTTGTGAGTCAATGTCATAGAGATGTAGCTGGAAAATAATGAAAGATGACAGTGTAAAATACTCAAGTCTTATTTTAAAATGAAAAACAAAACATATAATTATATTTATATCCACATAATATGTTTGCAATAAAATGATGGATCCACTTAATCAATCAAAGTTCATAAAGTATGATTAGATGCAAACTTCCTAGGAAGTTACATATTTCTCACAAATCTACCCAGGAGCCACCTTATTCTTTTACTTTTAAGATTGATTCCTAAATAAATTAATGTTACTATTTATTTGTTTGCAATAGACATAAATCAATACTGACCTTGAGCTTGTTGTCCCTATACAGAAGTTTGTGTCCAGTTTCATTCAACTTGTTGGAAAAATAAGATAATAAAAGTTCAAAGGGCAATTAAGGAAAATGTATATTCAAAGACAATTCAAATATCAATTTTTTAATTACTTAAAAGAAATGTCCCTGGGAAAATGATTACCTCAAGCCAGTCAATTCTGTTGTCATGGCTAACTTGGGCAATATTGAGACCTGTTAAGATGTCAGCTGAAAAATAAACATTAATATATTTATGTAACATAAGCATTAACATCTCCAAAGATATTTTTTTAAAAATATTTTTTTTATTTGTTGACAGCATATGCACGAGAATTTTTATACAAGCAAAATGTTTTTAAATAAAGGCTCACAACTCTCATTTTAATTTGTATAAAAAAAATTAATTTTAATTATTTAAAGCTTACTGATAGTCACAGTTTTCAGATCAAGGAGGTAAGCCATTTTTTTGTTGTCCAGCACCCCTTTCTGTTTTCTCTCATTAAGTCTGACGCTGGGAAATAAGAGAATTTATTTTTACATCACTAAGAAAATAATTTATTCTCGAAGTGATGTTGAAAAATGGCTCATTCTTAAAAATAAATTTATTACTTTCCTTTGATACGGCAGTAATTTTGAAAACATGATTTAGTTTAATTTAAAGATTGACTTGGTACAAGCTATGTTGATGATTTATAACGTGGAGTATTTTTAAGTGAGCATTATCCTTCGGATTCAGTGGCCATTTAGGAGTGCTCTTTGGCGAAGAATTTACACACTCTCCGTTGTTCTTTGTATTTAGGATGTTGGTGTAGTCTGTTACTTTTTATAGATAGTTTAGGCATAATTCCTAAAGTGTTGGGCAGTGGAGTGTTACAGTCTCATTTGGATGTCTGCAGAGGAGGTATAATGGTGTTGTATCTGACTTTATGCATTTTACGTGGAAGTTAATTTGTATTTGTCCCGTGAGCATGTGAAAGATTATGATCTGTTTGTGTCTTTGGAAGCAATTTATCAGATCTTTAGGGTCTGGGCTAGGCATTTTTGTGAAAACACATCTTCCTGTTGAGCCCATAGCCCATCCATAAACAATTCTTCTTATTTGTTAGCTCTGATAATCTGCTAAGCAGTGTTGAGTGATGAGGGTATGTCTGGCCTTTTATTGGATGTGCCATGTTTTTCCTTAAATTGCTTAAATGTTTGCTCTCTTATTTCTTGTTATGCTGTGGTCTCCTGGTATCCTGGGGGGGGGGGGGGGGGGGGGGGGGGGAGTGGGGGAGTTTTCCTTATGATCATTTGCAAAAAAAGTGCATTTCTTTTTAATATTCTGCTTTCCCCAAATGAAAATAATTTTGGATACAATATGTCTAGTATACGATGTCATTTGATTTGAGGTGTCGGTATCTCACTCTCACGGGTCAATTAAGAATTACCTTGACTAAGAGGGTCTGCTTTTCTTGGGAAAGGGGGGGGGGGGTGATCAGTGGCTAATTTGGTTATCAGTGTATGAACCCTGTACAGGTCAACTCGAACATTTGTTTTGTGCCCCAGAACACTTATAAGAGAAGGGTAGACCTGGGGGGGGGGGGGGGGGGGGGGGGAGAGGAGATAGGTGATTTTTTAAAATAAGCAAATTGAATGATCTAGAAAAACTAACCTGATGAGATGTGGATTCATGAATTCAGTACGAACACAACCCAGAACCTCATTAGCACCATACTCTATCAAAGCCAGTTCTCCAGCATTGAAAATCATACAAACCTAACCAATAGCAGGATAGATACAGAGAGATAAATTATGAGGATAAAATACATTCACTACTTCATAATTTATAATTGTGACAAGCATGAAAAAGGTCACTGATTCATAATTTATACTTTTGTCTTATTTTTTAACAAACAGCCTCAAATGCAGCCTTTCCTTACAATTAATATAATATTTTTGTATTCAAATGTCAACAATATTCTGACAACGACAAAAGGATATATTTACATGTAATTCTGATTTTTTAAAAATATTGATACATCTTACATTCTCATTATCAAAGTAGTATTTTTCACTCCCTGAGCCTTGCCAAGGGACCTCACTTAGCCTTGAGGTCATCATATCTCCTAACAAAAGTGTGTCTGATGTGTGGGCAACAAGGTAGCGATCTTTTCCCATTATTCTCACTTCATCTATCTCATAGCCATAGTGCGATTTCAGCATAACTTTTGTATTGTTTGACAGATTTCTCACTATGGCCTTTCAAACAAAAACAAAATAAGAAACACGTTAAGACAGAAATAAGACGCTTAAAAAAACTATTTGCATTATTTTAAGTTGATTTCTATTAAATGAATGGATATACTGGGTACTGTATGAAGATAATGATAAGCTCAAATATTAAATATTTGTGATGAGGTAGACTTTCAAAATTAAATCTTTCTTTACAATAGAACACTGAAAAAATAATATCATTTCAAAATAATAAAAAATTGAGCTGACTGACCTGACTCATGCCAACATGTGTGATTTCAAACTTGTTCTTGTACAAAGTTCTTTTGAGGCAGCAGTCAAAAAGTTCCAGGCCTCCACATAATGTTCCCTAAATGGAAAAAGATTGAATCAAAAAAAAGTGTTGGAGCCTGCTACATATATTTACATTTTTAACACAATTGAAATAATTTAACAGCCATTAACTTTAGTGGAAATGAGCCTAAATTTAAACTATTTACATTTCATCAATTAAGTTTAAAACAGTTGATACTGACAGCTACAACCCTTGAGCCATCTTTCTTCCAAGCCAGCGCTGTGATTGTGTAGAGGTTTGCTATCTCTTTCAGTTTTGGTTCTTCCCAAACCTGTCGTCTTGGACTCCAATTCAGCACTCTCAATCTTATAAACAAATAAAATGGTTATTTCCCCTGGCAATAAAATTTCCCTGGCAATAAAATTTAAAAATACACAATCTTTTCCAATACCTTTGACTCTGCCCTTACAGACATAGAGCTTGACTTCAACCTCCCAACTCTAGAGATCCATTAATTGACCAGAACCTGTTGATGCTTATAAAGTAAATACCTAAGCTTCTTAACATGTCCTAAAGTAAGTCATTTTCAACGCCATTAAGCAATCAGAACTTTATTACTAATACAAACTTTAGCTAGAGGCTATTAATATCAGAAATCTATTGATTTTTTTAAAGCAGTTACATCTAATACTTATATAAAACTACTTACTTGTCAAAGCTACCAACTACAATATTTTGCCCACTTGGGGAGCAAACTGCCACAGTAAATTCATGCTCATCATAATCCCTGCTGAAATCAAAGTGTTGAAAACTGCGCCCATCTCTTCCATATGCAATGATTCGTTTGTCACAGCCAGCAGCAACAATGGCATTTTGTGAATATGCTAGGGCATAAGGTGGGGATGGGTGTGTAGCTATTTTGCCCTAGAATTAATTTTAAAAACTTTGTATATATTTTGACTACCATACATCAATAGAAACATTTAATTTAGCATACACTTTAAAAAACATTGACAATTATTGAAGTTTAAAATTTTATTAGCAAGACACCAACCTGAGTGTCCCCTGAGCCCTCATCATCAAAAAAGTACCGAATGATTGAGCCATCTGCATGCCCTGACAAAATCCCCTTACCAGATGGGCTGATAAATGAGGAGAAATTATGTAAGTATGAATTAATGTCTTAGTCATTCATCCTTAGTTACTAGTAGTTTAAATAAAAAATAAAAAAAGAAAGAAAATGCCAGTAAAGTTTGATACCTAATTTTTAATTTTTTTTTGCATCGATCCATTTCAAAGAGATGAATATGTGGTTCACCATTTCAAAGAAATGAATATGTGGTTCACCGTTTCAAAGAGATAAATATGTGGTTCACCGTTTCAAAGAAATCAATATGTGGTTCATCGTCTCAAAGAGATGAATATCTGGTTTGCGCAGAAGTTGCAAAATCAAAAGGCTCTACATATTTATTGAATATGTTAGATGTCTTTAATTTATATTTACTTAATGATCTCATAAAATAACATGGCTGTAATTGCAGATTTCATACAACTTACTTGCATGCCAAGGATACAACATATGATTCAGTACTGTATACTGTTGCTGACTTATTTGTTTTTATGTTTGCTGAGCGTACCTGTTAAAATAAAACAAAAGGAAAAAGTAAAATAGTATGGAATGTAAATCAGAATTGAAACAAGGTAGCCACTGAGATTAAAGCATCATAAATGGTGAGTCTAGAAGCCTAAAGAAAATATACCCCAAAATGTCAGAACAGCAAATTGTTTAGTGAAAAAAATACAATCTAATCACATTTCATGGTCTAATACAATATTATTTTTTTACAGCCAAGTACTTGTTTGGGGGGTATTTTTTTAATTGTAGATTTCTAGTTATGTGACTGATGAGGGGTTTTAATTTATATAACTGAGAATCTCTAACAGCTTATTTTATTATGGATAGCCAAGTTATCTGTAAAAATATGTATGTATAATTTAGACTTCTTTTTCTTAATCTATTTTAATAAACTTTTTTATAAAAAATTATAAAATTTAATAATTGAATATAAAATATTTTACAATGATAGCTTTAAAGGGAGATGTGCAAAAAGGGCGGGGGGGGGGGGCACTGGATTGCATGTTTGCATTTGTGTGGGACAATTTAAAGGGGAGGTCATAATTTGTATACATGAAATCTCCTAAATACAAAACAGTGAAATTATACTTTCACTGGATTTGGGTACTTTCTATTTGAAAAATTCAAAATATTAATTTGTGGATTAACTATTTAGTACACGTTACATTGATCAAATTTAATAAGTAAGTTCAAGATCACAAGGTAGCATGAAAAAATTCATGAATTTGGGCTCTTTGTTACTTCACCAAACTAATGATTACCTTGCCATCCGCAAGTCCACATATGATGAGTTGATCTGGAGGCCAAATGAGACAAGTCACAGCACTTTGTTGGACAAATTTATTGCAGATTACCTTTTTCTCTCCCCTAAGAATAAAGAAAATTATTATTTTCAAGGTTTATTAAAATAAGAAATATCCAAAAGATATTAAGTTTCATTTTCAATCATAATGGTAGTAAACCAGTCGGTAAGAACACTTCATTTAATTAGCTAGATTCAGAGCAAAATTTCAGCTTTGACAAGGAAACACAATGTAATTATGGTAAAAATATCTGTGATCTTAGATCATATTAATCAGTGCAAACAACTTCATAGACCTACCATTCATCACCAATCTTGTAAACATATATAATGTTGTCTGTTTGACCAACTGCAATTTTTGATGAGTCACTTGAGAATGCTAATCCCTTTACTGTGTAGCTCTTCTTTCCATACTTTACAACAAAACAATAAGTCATTTTATAATGATTTTTCAAAACTATATTACCAAACATGCAAATTACGGAAGATGTAAATGTATATATATTATTCAACACATAATTTTAGATTTTAACAAAATTATCTGTAAGATTGTTTTTAGTTATTTTCAAATTTTTTGTCAAAATTAAAAAGCTATTCTGGTTTTATTTCTTATTAAAAACAAGTTGTTATAACTCATAATAAAAGGTATCAAATAATATTTAGAATTTTGCCTTACTGAGTTTAGGTGATGGGTTTTAAAAACTTAACATATAATTGTTATAAAATAAACTTTAACATCTTAAACAAAATAAAAACGTATGAGCAGCACATTCAAAGATAATTAGTTATTAGTTACTACAATACTTTTGAATCTGCTGGTTTGAGAGAAAACTTGTCACGTTTCTCTCCTTGTTCATCAAAAAGTACTATAACTCTGTCAGAAGTACAAACTGCTAATTTCTGGTTGTTGGGTGAATAAGCAACTGCACAAACTTTTGCTGCACCATCCTAAAAATAAAGAAAAAATTTATCACATGTTTTTATTTGTTTGTTCTTTTACTATTTATAAATATTTTCAAATAATATACACATTTAGTTCAGGTCATAGATGCCATAGATCTATGATTTATTTGTACAATGTACCTAATTTTTAGCACATTTTTTTACTGTTTATTAAATGAATATATTTTCAAGCTGGTCAAAATGATACATATGATCTAAACCTTTCTTAAAAAGCTCAGGATATTTAGTGATTATGAAGCTTAAAATCATTGTTATACTTTCCTTTAGTCTTTGTTGTAGCCCCCCACCCCCCTTTTTTTCCTCACTAGATTAACAGCCAAACAATAGTAGTCAATGTATACATCCTTAAGTCTTTGTAAGATTATAAAATTATTTGTTAACATGCAGTTTTGAAAAATAGTTTATTCAAATTGATTAAATGGGTAGGGCCAGATGTCCAAAAGTGCCTAGGTATAATTTGCTATGGCTAGAGTGCAATGTTTCCTTCCTCACATATTTGGGGCAAAATCATTGAATGTAGCATTCACACTTTTAAAAAATATATATTTTAAATAATAAAATTATACAGTTTTAAAGAAAAAAATTAAACAAACTCAACCAGCTTTATTAGTTTTTGAGCTATGAATTAAACAAAAAAACTATATGATTATGAAAATGTGAATTCGTTTGTCCTTTTATGCAGTTTGTCTATAACTGAATTGAACGTACTGGTAGTATGGACAGCACCACCTAAATTTGAGACCCTATTCAATTTATTGTATTTTTACACGATACTGCCGTTACTTTACTACCAGTATAAAAATAATAATTGCTTCATAAATATTAGTAAATTTATTCTTTTGTTTTAAAAAATGAGCATTTTATTCAGCAAAATAACAGGCTCATCGTCACAATAATTAACAGAGTGCAGAGGTCGAGTGAATATGCTACTGCGGTAACCCAATAATATTTGGTAAAAATATCAACCAATGAATGTTCGTTACTTGCTTTCATTGATGTTGACTTTTTGTTTTACATATTATGCTGATAGGTCATTATGGTTTATTCCCAATAAACAAACTTAGTGCAGAGTGCTAAATTTAGAATTTGGACTTTCATGTAGGATATCGCTTAGAGATTTAATATTCAAGAACATCAAAGAAGAAGAGAGAGGAGAACACCAGCAATCACCGCCTTGCCTGGTGCAGTGTCAGTTTCAGGTTGTTTTTTAAATACTGGTACTGCGCAAAACAATTACAGACATTATTATCCATCGGTGACAACAGGGTGTTGTTTTCAAAAGGGCGGAAAAAGGAAGTGTCAACTATATTGTCATTGTGCATGTGCATTAAGCCCTCGGAAGCCGCAATTATACTTATTTCGGAACCCGCAATTATTCTTAAGGCTTCACTCGCCCCACCCAGTCACTTTGAAATATTTTTGCTGATTTGAAGTAGCCTACCATATATAATTGTAGTTGTAGGTTATTTGTAGTTATGTTATTCACAATTTAATTTAAATCAAATTATAATAAAGAATGAAATGATGTTTTGTTTATTTAAATTTAATTAGGTTTGAATATTTTTTAAAGTAAATTATTATGTTTTGGTGTTTTAATTTTCCATTGAATTTAATTTTTAAGTTATAATACAACTATAACATCAATATTATAGAGTGTGAGCAGAGCTCCACAACCGAAATGACCGGACCCAAGCCCAGTGATTTAAACTTTTAATTTTAATCACCCACTAATTTAAGTATAATATAACCCTATAACTTAACCTGGTCAATTAAATAATAGTAAATAGGCCTACTAAAATTGTTTAGAGCAATACTCATTAGGCCCTCTACAATTTTCATGTGAAACTAATCACTCTCTCCTGTAGACTCAGTAGTAGTAGTCACAGTCAACAAGGTAAGATCAACTCATCAAGTAAATTATATTTTATTAGACAAGTGAGCCCTTTAAATTTAATATCAAATTTTACCATAGGCGGTAACAACGTTTTCATGTGTTTCAACTGCATCTTCACAGTTGAGGAGATCCGCCGAAACGGTCAGACTCGGTTTAATTACACCAATTAATTTAATTGTCTTTCAAAAAATTAAACGTTAGTTCACATAGACGCGCACTTGCTGGAATGTTAGCAACGAAAAGTGCGTATTTCGTAACCTTCTTCTCGCATTTAGTATATAAATGTTAAATATTTTTTTCAAAATATAATTCTATCGTAATATTGTAACTAAATCAAAATTAGAATTATTTGTTGGTTGCAAAGTGTTAAGGCTACTCATGAATTTTTATTATTCTACTTTTCACATTCTACGAAACTTTAATTAAGCTTGATAAATAAATTGTATAAACATGGCCGTCGGAGGCAGAATAAGACGGTTTTTCACACCTGAAAATAGTGTCAGAATTGTGGAAATGGTATGAATATCTGCTATAATACTTATATTATATTTTTTTGTTTGCTAGTTATTCTGATAATTATTAATTTTAAAACCATTAGCGAGGTGGAATAGTGTTAAACGGTTTTGGTAAACAAACGGCTAAATCTGAGGACGAATCGAATGCCACGGCGTCTTTTGGGTGTTTATTATAGTTGCAGTGAATTAGTATTTATTAGGGTTTAGGTTAGGTTGAGGGATTGATTTAGGGTTCAGGTTAGGCATAGGGATCGATTTAGGGTTCAGCTTAGGCTTAGGGATCAAATTAGCATTCTCGTGAAGTTCAATAAAATAGTGGCATTCGTCCTCGTAATTAACCCTAAAATATAAACTAACTTAAACTTAATTACTACCACTAAGTACCACACTAGGCCTAAGTAGTAGGTTAATCTTGCAGGTCAGGTGCATATATATTATTTGTGATTGAATTTTGTATCATTATCATCACATGTAAACTTAAAAAAATATATTATTGTTAGGTTGTAAGACAAAATGAGGTATCAAAATCAATTCAAAGATAATTGAATGGACTATATGTTCGTAAACTTACTTCTTCAGTTTAACCAAAATAAACTACCATAAATGACATCCGAATAGCATTGAGTCTAAAGGCACCCGTGTCCGAATAGCGGCACTGCGTGTCAGGGGCAAGTAAGACCTTACTTATATATAGACATGTCGACATGTGCATTACTTGCAACACGCAATTAGCCATAGTTGGTTATAACTTATAACTGTAGTAGTATAAAGCTTAGCCGAAGTTCTATTCTTACTAATTAATCTAAATTTCGCCTGTAAATAACGTGTGCACAAGTCACCTGGTACTGTCAATTATAGAGTAATTGACAGAAGCAGATGGACTTTATTTAATAGCTAATTCAAAAACTTAGTTTTATGACTTCAATGACACATTAACTACACTGTTTAATTTTTTTATTGACCTTAATCTGTAGGCTGTATGACATGTTATTAATTCATTTTCTAAAAGCAGAGAATTTAATTTTTTATTGTTGCTTACTTCTTTAAATTTAATTGATTTTTAAAAATGATATTCCAGTATGGCAGAACCAATCATGAAGACTATTAGTGATCTAAATGATCTTTTAAGCTCTTATGACAATCTTGGCAATTACTTTGTTTACCGATAGCCACATCATTAACAGGCTTAATGCAAATATAAAAAAGTTTTTACAACACTGCTAAGGCAGTTCCTTTAGAAATGCAAAAACTACCAACTCCAAATGTTATGGAGGTCAATAAAAGTGCAATTCATAAATTATTATTAAAGATAAGAAATTTGTATCATGATAAGTATTAGGGGTGTGCCGGATCCGTTTTTTCCAACCGGATCCGGATCCGGATTTTCTTATGCGAAATCCGCCGGATCCGGATTCGGATCCGGATTCCGGAATAATCCGGATTCCGGTTTCTCCCGGATTCCGGATTTTGGTACTATTGGTAGATACTTCGGTAAGTCAAGGTGGACTACTACTTTTTGTGTATGGGAATTCGCAATCGGCGCCAAAAAATCCGAGTTTTTAATTTTCCGATGTGTGTGTCTATTTATTATTAAATTAGTACTTTCGATATATATTTGAGTTCCGTTCCATTTGGATAAGTGTCTTACGAGAGACGCCATGTTTCTACGCGTTCGCAGCAGGTTATGCAGCTCGCTCAACCTAATTTCGCCATGGGGTTGGCCACGCCCCCCTTTTTAATGGCGGAAGTTGACGATACTTAGGAAATATTAATTTATTATCACTATTTACATCAAAATAATTGATAACTTGTGTTTCAGAATGCATTTAAAGACATTTAAACTGGAATGTTTTAATTTGAGCTTTAACAACCCGGTAGAATCCATATTATAAATGATCAGAATTTACCGTGTGCAACACGTTGTCATTGGCAACCATTCACAGCCACTTGCATAACTGTATCGTAGTACTACCTCAGAGTTTCATTCATAAGAGTTTGCCGTGTGCAAAAACTATTAAACCATTGGTCAGGGAAAGCTTTAATTAATTATTCATGTGCCAAAGTTGAAAGTTTAAACTAAGTCTAAACAGTATTTTAGTGATAAGGCAGGGAATGCGTTGCCTTATATAAACTATATAGTCATTGCGCATGACGGGATTGGTGGAATGAGATCACAGAATGTGGAGATGCAGTCCATGTTAAAAAATGACAAACCAAGTCGTACTTTAAAAATTCATAACTTTAAAACTACAACAGCTAAAAATATGATTTTGGTGTTATAATTCTTTAAAAAATTACATCTTTTCAACTATGCCATTGGTTTATTTTTACAAAAAGTTTAAATTTTCTTATCAAAGTCCCTACACTATTGGCCACTATTAGCGGTGCTGACTCTAGCCTCTGGTATGTACGGAATATTAAACATTAAACAAGCTCAACGCTCGAAACAATCGATTAATGTATCGTGATCGTGTGGAATTCGGGAAAGAGAATTACTTTTATTTCAGATTATGATCCGGTGAGTCACAAAATCTGGCAAATTTCGAAATCCGGTATATTCCGGATTCCGGAATCCGGTTGTTCCGGATACATGTAAATCCGGCGGAACCGGATTTCACCGGATAGTGCAAAATCCGGCGGAACCGGATTCCGGACCGGACTCCGGCACACCCCTAATAAGTATACACATTTAATTAAACACAAATCAGTGCATTGGAATGACATAGTGAAACTTTTGTCATAACATTTTTCTAATTTTAGAGATCCAAAATCTAACTTAGATGAAAATATTCAAAATGTTAGGACTGCAGAACTTGGATCAGATCCATCCACCAATGACCCAGGTCCATCCTCCAGTGACCCAGTTCCATCCACTAGTTACCCAGGTCCATCCCCCCATTGTCCATGAGATTATAACCTTAAGAAAGGATTGTCTTAATTGCTCTATAAAGAGAAAGGTGAATGAGAACCTTGCAATAAAAAGGAAAAGTCTTAAAAGTCAAAAAGAAGCCATTAAAAGGCAATTTAAAATTAAAAATGTTAATCAAAAAGTGAAAATACTATTGAGTAGTATACAAATAAAGCAACAAAGAAATAGAGTTTTAGTAAAGCAAAATTCATGTTCAAATCTTTCAGTACAATATTTAAGGAAAAAGCAAAGCATACTTAAAGTTCTAATTGGGAGTCTAAAAAGATCCCAAAAATATTTAGATGTTAAGAAAAAACATAAAATGCTCATTAAGACCCAGGAGGCTCAGATCCACAAACAAAATAAAGAAATCATGCAACTGAGCCAGATAATTGATAAACTTACATGCACATTATTGGAAGACAATACAGATAATACAAACATAATCCAAATAAAAGATGGTAAAACTTATGGTATGGCCACTAAAATGGTGATGTACAAATCACTGATATATAATATTCCAGTCTGTGCTGTTGGAGATTTACTTCAATTCTCCATTCAGCAAATGACTGGACGAACACTGATGTCAGTACCTAGTCAGACAACAGTTGCTCAAATGTCTTGTGAGTTGGGAATTCTAGCCAACTTACAAGTGGGTGAGACCTTATCATCCTGTGATAAAGTTACATTATCGTGGGAAGCTACCATCATTGATGGCTATCACATCAATTAAATACATATCTCCACTACCCCTACAAAACACCTTACAGTAGACATAAGACAGATGGTGGCAGGGCTGTAGATTACAGTGAACACATTAGGGAATCACTGAGGGATGTCACCTACCTCTGTGCAAAATACACTAGAGTACCTGAAGCCCAGACAGCTTTATTTTGTCAGGGTCTCATAAATAAAATGAAAAATACACTAACACATCGGGCACTTGTCAACCATAGCTTTGTTCAACAATTAGAGCAACTGTTTGACAGTAAAATTCTAGAATTGAATTGCAATGATGGTTTTGCTAATGCAGCAAGGAAGGCCCTCTTAGAAATAGATGCAGAGCAAAGTGTATCATCTTCTGAAATCTTTGATGGCAATTGACGTACAGTTAAATGCATTATGCCTATTTCTAAACTTAGATTCAAACAGGGTGCTGATGACCCTAGTGGATTTACGACATTTATGCAAGAACATGATATATCCTTGGGCACATTTGTGCTATATGTTGTTAACCCCATACATGTGCTGTTTTATTCTGCTGGCATCATAGTCTTGCATCTAGAGGCACTCCGAAAATATTTGTACGTCTTTTTCAGTGCGTTCAACACTCAGGAGTGCAACAAAATGTGACCTATATGACTGTAGAGTTCTGAGGCAGTTGAGGGCACTTGGACTGGTTGGGAAAGTCATCACTGGGTCTTGGATGACCAAGTTTTACTCCGACAGAGTTCACCTTGACCTTGTACCAGTGATTCAAACCTGTCATGATGCTTTAGAAAGACTGTCTAAACAGCCTGATGAAATACTCAACATGACAACTAATATTTATGGAGAGCCATTGCAACCTGAAAATGATACAGTACTGAAAGCCCCTTTGAATTTTGACAGCAGTGATAAGGAGGAGATCACTAAAATTCTTAAAAAACTTCTTCAGGGTATTTTTTGTGTGTATCAGAGGCAGCTTGCTCGTTATACTGCAGGGGATCTTTCTGATCCTACATCAGAAATGCTTTATCAGTCAACCTCTGCACCTATCCACAACATGTCATTTGAGCGTGCACTTGGCATGCTTGACTGGTTGTGGA